ACTACATGAAAATGAAAATTAATGAATACACTGTGTACAGTAATTTACCTGATAAGACAGACCTCAGAAAAATACTTTATGAGAGCTTTTATACTTTTATAAAGCTGTCTATAATGAAAATTAATTAACTAAGGATTTTTTTGCCCTGCCAGGGTGTGGCCGAGTTATCCGGAGTGGCGGGTTATCGAGAGCCGAGTTTTCGAGGTTCTACTGTAACATTTAAATAAACACTTATAATTATATATAATTATTTACTTTTTAAATTAATAATTAAATAATTTCATTTAATTATTTATTTTAAAAATTCAAATAAAAATAAATATTTAAATTTCTTTAATTTGAATTTTAAAATATTAAAATAATAAGTAAATAGATTTTGTATATTTTTTAAAAAAGAAAATTTGAGTAGACTAATAAATTGTAATCTAAGAATATGTACAGAAACTATATTAAATATTTAGAATTATATATATTTGTAGAACTTATTCTTAAGTTTATAAATATATTTATTTTCAAGGAAATTCATAAATTTTTTATTTAAAAAATGGATTTAAAATTATCAATAATATAACAAAAAAATATAATTTTTTTTAATTTTAAAAAAGTTTGATTTATTATTCTTTGCAAGTTTACATTTATTTTTTAAAGTTATATTTAAAAATTGTTAAAATTATTTTAAAATATTTATAATTTTTACATTAAAAACATTATTTTATGTTTCTGTATTGTAATAATTTTAAATCTTTCCTTTTTTAAATTAAAAATTTATAAAATTCCTTCAAAATTCTCAATAAATATATTTATAAATTTAAGAATAGATTCATGGAAAAATACGTTTTAAATATTTCATTTTATAACAATTTTAAACATTTTTGTATAAATTTATTCGTAAATTTAAAAATATATTTTTTACACATAAGTTTTAGATTTTTTTATCTACTAAAAATACTAAAACATGTTTTAAAATTCTACTAAAATACATTTTTTTTATCTTGAATTTATATTAAAATAAATATATTTGTTAATATTAAGTCAATAAATTTAATTTTTTCTCTTCTTTTTCTGTTTATTTCCTTTTACGTAATTAATTTATTGATCTAACAACCATTTTGCTTTAATTTGGAAGATATAAATAAATTAATATCCTAGAACGTTTATAGAAATTTAATAAATTGTGTTATATAGGTCAGCATTTCCTAACCTTTTTTATTATTAGAAGGCAATTCAAAACTCATTGCAGTTCGCGAACCACAGATTGGAAAATAAAGTCGTAAATTAGTCAGGAAAACGTTTAATGTAAGTTTCCTATTATTATTTTATACATAATTACATTAAATTTTTAATTTTTATATTACCTAGTTCCGTTAGTTGCCCAATTTTCGGGTAAAGGCCTAGCCCAATATCCAGGTTTAGATATCAAATCTGGACAAGCGTATCGAGGTAAACTAACTATAGTATTTGGATCGTGTAGAGTGACACCTAATCTTAGAGCACCCGTCCATTCTTCATTAGCTCCAAGTAAAATTGATATTCTGGTGTTGACAGAAATTGGCTTGTAACTAAAAGTGATAGCATCGCAAAAAGAAACTGGTCTCAAAGCTCTGGTACCACCATCTTCTACTATAACATTCCCTCCATGTACGGCGTGAAATTTCATCGTTAGAGTATTTCATCCTTCACATCCGGATATGTCCGGTCACAGAAATGAACCCATCCGAAAATGTTTGTCATATAGAATGTAATTGATACTGATCTCTTCAAGACAGAATCAATGGGATCTTAAGAAGCTGAAACAAGAAAAATGATAAAGAAAAGTTGAAATTCATTATAAAAAATTAATTAAATATAAATTAAACATATATAAAAATATATTTATTAGCATTTTACAACTATGAAATTAAAAGATATGATTTTTAAATAAAAGATTGGTTATATTAACAACAAATTCCCTAGCATTTTACAGTTTCATAGTTCAAAAATGCTCATAGTTCAATATCTCTTCAAGACACGAATGGGATTTTAAGAAGCTGGAGCAGGAAGATTGATAAAGAAAAGTTAAAATTTCATTTTAAAAAAATCTATTATAAAATTGGAATTTTTGAAGAATAAATCAAATATATTTCAACATATTCATGAGCATTTTACAAGTTTAATTGAATTATTGCAAAAATTTTTGTTTAAAGATAACTTTGTTCATCTTTTATTTATTTCTTTTTTGTTGAATTTTCTTCAAATCCTTCGTTTCCGTAAACGATTTCGCATATTTTTACATGAAAAAACATTTTATTTTAAAAGATTTCAAAAGTAATAATTCAAAAAAAAAAAATTTTTTTGGTCTTTTACAACATTTTTTGAATCAATAAAACAATTTTCTTTGAATACTTCACTAAAAATCAATTGAAAAAATTTTAAGTAGACTCCTTTATAATATGAAAATTTCCACTTATGAGTTTGTTCAAATGGATTTTTGATGTAATTTTTAGACCTTTTTTATAATATTATGATTTATATTTATATACAAATCGATCGCTGTTATAAATATAACAAGAATTTATATCCAAAATAAGGAAAGAAAAATCAATGAATATTTTACTCTATTAAAAAATTAAATTTATAAAACTTTACCGTCGATTTATTACAATTATTATTATTATTATTAACAAATAAATGTATCGACGATGTAAAAATTCCATTTTAATAATGTTTATTTGGCAAATTCTAATCCTTTATGGCATTAACTCAGCTCACGAAGATCTGTTCTTCAGTTACCATCTAAAAAAATCATTTACAGTAAAGTCAAGAAAAAATTCTACTTGAGATTTACAGATTAGTTTAAGAGCTTGTACTTTTTTAAAATTAATTTTCTTCTCTTTAAATTATTTTATTTAAATAGGACGATTATAAGAAATCTCTAAATAGATTTTTAACACTACTTTAACTGAAATAGCTAAAAACTGTAAACAAAATAAACTAATGTAAAAAATAAAAATATAGTATATATTAAATTAATAAATAGTTTATATACTCAACTGTATTTTAATTAAAAAAAAATATTACAAAATATGAAAAATTTGAATTTTATTTTAAGAAGCTTGCACTAATTTTAATGGGTTAATTAATTAATTAATTAGTTAAAAAATTAGTCAACTCAGTTAACTGACTTTTTGTCTAATCCTGTGTATATTAAATAGATCAAAGAAGAATCAATAGGATCATTTGATCGGATCCGGGTTCAAAGTACTCTCAAAATTTGATCTATGCAAAATAAATCCATGATATAAGAAAAGTAGTGAAAAATCTATTTTATTGATTTTAATCGTATTTTATTTTGATCATTTTAATCATGTGCTTTTGTAATTCATGACTTTTGAGAGAATCGAGTATTAGTAACTGACTCGAATTCCATCTTAATCTTTCAGTACCTATTTAACTATTTGTTATTTTTATTAACGTACAAATAAATCAGTACATTGAAGATGATCTTTATAAATTTAATAAAATCAAGTATCTTGATTAAGTATCGATCGATTCTGTTCATTAAAATTAAAAACAGAAATAAATAAGTTAATGAATAAATGAAATATCGAATTTCGACTTCCGTCTAACTTACCATAAAAAATTGACACGATCAACCAAGATAAATAATTGAATTGAAGATAAAAAGTTTTTCGGTCACAAAAGAAATAAAAATCTGTATTTTTTTTTATCAATGCATTCTCTGTATTAAGTCTACCAACGTAATATAAAAAAGGATTAGTTTTCCTTTCTGATTGTCATATTAATTCTACAGTTTTTTTTAATTCGAATATCTAATTATTATATTTATCCATAAATGTCTATTTCTTTACTTTTGATCCTTTATTTTGTACTTTTTAACCAGGAATGCCTAATTTATTTTTACATTTTTTTTTAACAGCAAACGATTATCTTGCTTATACATTTTTCAACTATGTATGCTTGTTTTATTTTTGTATTTCTGACAATAAATGCCTAATTTTTGTATTTTAATTACAAATTCCTATTTATTTTTTTAAATTTGACGATTGTGCTTATTTTACTATTGTACTTTTTTAACCATTAATGCCTGTCTTACTACATATTTTCAATCAAGAATGCCTATCTCACTTATGTACAGTAATTTTAACCTACAAATGCCTACTTTATTTCTGCGTTTTAATAATAAATTCCTACATACTTTTGGTATTTCTTTAACGACGAATGCGTATTTTTGTAATTTTAACCATAAATATTTATTTTATTGTTGTATCTTTTAACAATTAGTACAGGAACTTATTTCGCTATTGATATATTTTTTAACCTAAAATTTCTCTCACATACAAATATATTTAACAATAAATGTCTATTTTATTTCTGCAATTTTTAATCATAAATAGAAATATTTACCTTATTTTTGTATTTTTAATTATAAATATTTATTTTTATTTTTAAAATTTTGTATCTAGTATTGAATATTTGCAATTTAATAATAAATGTATTGATTTTTTTAATCGAAAAAAGTACCTTTCGCACTAATAAATAAAATTTATAATGCAATTATACAGAAATTAACCATTTAACAATTAAAATAAAAGGATTTTTACATTGTTAAATGATTAATTACATTAATGAAGGTCATGCAGAAGATTATTTTTATAAATCAGATGAATTTATTTAAGGATATGCATTTAAATTAATAATTTAAACTCTCTTCGGCTCAATTTAAATGCAACTGAAAGAGCATTTTTCAGTTGCATTTAAATTGAATAAATTATAATTATAATTATTAAATTATAATTATAATTAATAGAAGGTATAAAAATTATATATTTTCATTTTAATATAACAATTTACCATTTTTTTATTTTTATAAATTGAGGAAAAAAGAATCTCTATCTTTTTACGGGCATCTCATACTTGGCATTTTGTGAATGTAGTGCGTATTTCATAATTAAAATACGGTTTAAAAATTCTAAAATTAAAAAAAAAAAATACATTAAAGTTTAACGGAATTTTAAAAATTTTTATTTAAATTTTTAAAATTAATTTTATAAATTTAAAATAATTTTTAACTATAACTTATTTTTCATCTCCATTTTTTAGTTTGGAGTTTATTTGAATTCTACTACAAATTCGATAGAAAAAATCATAAAATAGGAAGATTTTTAAATACAGTAATACTAGTTTTTTCCCCCTAGAAAATAAATTTTAAATACATTTATAAGGCTCATATTTCTTAATATTATTCTTTAAAGTGTTGCGTATAAATTGAATTTGCAACATAAATCTGCATTATTTATATATATTTTTCCTTCGAAAAACTTCAAAAATTAATGTAATAATTTTCCATTTTTCTATAGAATTGAATTGTTTAAAAAAAGTGTTATAAACGAATGCATAAAATAATATAAATTCTGATCGTAATTGAAATGATTAGTTCAAAAAAATTTTTAGTAATAAAATAAGAAAAAAAAATAAGCAAATAGTGAATTTTTTATATAAAAACATAAAAAATATCTAAATTATTGTAAAAATGATCGAATTATTTTGATACACATCCTCTAAAAACATTGTTTTTTACGACTTTAGATACCATTACTACGTAATGGAACATGAATAAAAAATTATTTTTATAAGACAGCAACTTAAAATTTTTATTGAAAAACAAAAAATTCCATTATATAAATCGAGAAAAAGCTTTCGATGTGATTATAAAAACTAGAATTTTAGTTAATTTTTTATTGTAAAGTTTTCTTTTCCTTTATTCCAAATTAAATTTGTTTTATCTTATTTTTTTCGTAGCTTAACTAATATATATATATTAGTTAAGCTCCATTTTGTCCGAGAAAGTCTGGTCATTTCCTATAGAAGCGTACTTATCACTACAGGAGTCCGAATGATGATTGAACAAATGATGCTTTCAGGATTCGAGAGCATCAAATGATTCAGAAGAAAGAGCATCATAATTGATTTCTCAATTTATAAAGCTGCGAAACATATTTCAGGAGTTTATCTAAGCATTAAAATTATAAAATATAACAGATTTTATTCATTAAATAAAAAAAAATCATTAAATATACAGTAGAATACCTGTCTAAAACGGAACCTATATAAAATGGAAAGCTACCTAAACCCGGTTTATCCAGGTTTTACTGAACTGTATTTCTAAAATTACTCAGGAATAAGCATTTTAATATAAATAGGGATTTAAAAGATTTCGCATTCTTGCAGATTTTGAAAAACTTCAAGAATAGGAATATAGAGATTAACTAAAATGTATAGATTTAATTATAAATAAACCTTATATTTTGAATTATATAATATATAATTCGAAAAAACAATTGCACATTCAAGTTTTGAGGGATATTATGTTTCAGGATATTGCTTAGAGGAGTGTTTGTATTCTCTTAGCCGTAGTTGCTATAGTAACATAGATGTATAATTCTAGTCAACTAGCATGAGAAAGCAATCAATCAAGCGAGCAACATGACTGCAAAGCTAGGAATCGAGAATGCAATTCCGTTTACTTACTCTGTATAACAGCTTTACGTAAGACAAGATCATAAAATCGATCATAACGTTGACAAATCTATTTATTTCCTTCGCCTTACATTTAATGTATAATTGTATTTCGGAACAATTTACAAAATATTTTATATATATATATATGTTTTTAAATTATGAAATTAGAAGAGAAATTCTTAGATTAAAACTCGTCGATACTTAAGGTCTATCTATTAAAATCAAGTGACAACGACACCTGTCTTCATCCTAGACTACTCTAATCGATCAAAAATAGTTTGAAACCCTCGAGAGATTGAGATTTTTTTTGTCTGTCACACCTTCAGATTTGTTCAATTTACTTAGAAAATTTCTTATAAATTAAAGTAATTAATGTGCATTTTTAATTAATTAATATAAAAACTCATTAATATTTAATATTTAAATTAAATTTTAAATATATTTATAAACTACATTAATTTCATTAAAATAAAGAAAGGAATATAACTTTTAATCTTCTTTTCTTAATTTAATTAAAATTATTTCACGATCTTTATCTAAAAATATTAATTAACTGGATATTCTGGCTGGTATGAAAAGTATGTAGGATTATTATTGGAAGTAAATTTTTAGTGAATAACATTGAATCTTAAAAATATACTTTAACTATGTAACTTGATACAATAGTTAAAGTTATAGTAGAAGTAAACCATTGTAGAAATAACTAGTGGAGGTATTAGAATGTAAAAGATCCTGAGCAAGTTTGTGAGGAGAATTTTATATAAATTTATATAGTGTAAAATCCATATTGCACAATATTTGATATTGTAACAACGTCTAGAATCAAGCTAATACTGGATTCTGGAGGAATGTCGAAAAGTGTATTTTGGGTCTTAGATATGTGCATATATAACTAATGCAAAGCCCAAGGAAGAAGTTTAAGTTTCCTCGTGTTTGCACTATTAATGTCCTCGTATATGCGTAAAATCGCTACTAGTTATACATAAAAATTTAAGTGTAAACGTAATAATAAATCAAATATTTCAAAGAAACTAAAGCAAGAAGATATATTAAAAAAAACTCCAAAAAGATTAATAAGGAAGAAAATTAATGGATGTTGCAACCTAATCTATAAATAACAAATATTAAAATCATAAAAATTCCATTTGAAAAATATAAAGAAAACTGTTATTTTACTTTATTTATTTTTCGTCTTTAATCAAATTACGTATTTTCTAAGCCACTCCAATTATTATATTATTTAATGACTTTCAATAATTATCTTACAATTTGTATTAAGTAAATACTTTATCTTTCATCAAAAGAAACAATTAGCGATGTTTTTAAATTACAATACAATAATTATATTTTAAAGTTTTATATAATTGATTTCTCTTGAGAAGAATCGAGATATCAAAACAATAATCATTTCATAAAATAAATATTTGTATGTACACCAAATCTCCGAAGGGGATAAGATGTAGTAAATGAATGGAGATGTTGTCTTTTCGGTATAAAAATTCTTAAATTAAACTGTTATCTGTACATTTTTAAGAAAATAGTTTTCATTTTAGAAGAATACGTGTTTAAAATTTTAAAATAAGCAGTTAAATAGTAATAATTTATATTAAATTCGTTAAAAATTCAAACTTAAATTGAATTTTATAAGAACAAAACCCAAGAAAGTCAGTTGAATTTTAAACAACATAATGCTAAAATAGATATATTAAAAATTAAATTGGAAAACAACAGATTTAAGAATTTGGTTATATTTGTTTTAAAAGTATTTGTTACTTTAAATACAAATTTACTACATATAAATTAGAAAATTTAAATATAAATTAATTTTGTATAACTTTATGAATTTTGTTTACTTTATATTTCTTAAATTATTGAAATTATAATTATTTAATTAAAAATAGGAAGTAAAATAAATTTTAATTTTAAAATTTCATACAATAATGACTATAACATTTTTATAATATATTATAATGTATAACAGGATTAATATAATTTATAACTATTTTATCATCTTAAAAATTAGAATATAGTTATTATGTATATAAATATAGAAGCAATTTATACACGGTAGTTAAGTATAGAAAATGTCAATCTACTTAGATATACTGTACTTCCTAAATATGAAGGGTGGAGTAGTAAATATCAAGCTATAGACCATAAATCGAATATTAAACTTGGGCATTAACCTTTCATTTTCCAGGAATAATTTTTAAAAAATAATAATAAAAAAAATAATATTCATAATTTAAAATATAATTTTCTTCTATAAACATGAATATTAAAGTAAAATTTTCTAAAAATGTCATTTACTTTTTTTTTGAAAAGTATAGAAATTTATGAGTAACAGGATCATTTTGGAAGCTTATTTAATAAATTTTCCAATAAAAAATGATGTTAATACATTATTAAAAAGATTTATGTTCATAATTTTTTAAATTTAAATACTCTTTCTTAATTTTAGATTAATTTATTAAGAAATTTTGTTTACAGAGGGATCCAAAAATCAGTTAATCAAGATATATTTTTAAGATTAATATTAAGAATGTTTAAAAGCCATTCTTAATATTAGGTGAGACATTCTTGGGAGAGATATTTATGACCAAAATTATTGTTTTAAAAACTTTATTTAATAATTCTTTCAAGTATTTTACATAAAAGATTTATGTTCATATTTTTAAAAATTGAAATACTTTTTTAATGTTCAGATTAAATTAACTTTTAAGTAATTTTTAGGCCATAAAATTATTTATTCTATTCTTAAAATAAGTTTAAAAAATATATATATAGCTTAAAAAAAATGAGCCATTGAATAACTTTTGAGCCATTCTATATATATTCTTATTATTGATATAATTAATTTTTATAATAAATTATATATTTATAACATTAAGA